AAGTTGTTGGCTTTATCCAGCTAAGGTCCCATTTCATGACCTAGGCCTTCATTGTAGCTTGGATTAAGTGTTTTAGCCTCATAGCACCTTGCATGCACGTAAAGTTAGCAACTTTACGTGCAATGCTAGCATTAGGAGTCCAGATCTATGAGTTGGAAGTGTTGGAATAGACTGTAATCGACATAATAGAGATGTCATAAGGTGGACTCGACGAGTCCATTCATGGACTCGGCGAGTCGGGTCGCAAACCCAAACCCTTCTGTTATGATTCGGATAAGGGAGTGGAGTTAGTGAAGGATTCAGACAGACTGAGTCCCTAATGGACATGAAGATCATAGTACTCGGCGAGTCCAAGACAATCTCCTTAGTTATGAAGATGAGCTCGACGAGTTGTTCATACAACTCGGCGAGTCATGGCCTAGATATTCATACGATGATGATGAACTCGGCGAGTCGGTTGAAGATAGTCCCGAAGTGTTAGATGAAGGAGAACTCGTCGAGTTCTCGCTAGACTCGACAAGTGGAGTCGGGGTTGTTTTGGGATTTGAGGAACATGGACTCGGCGAGTTGGCAGAACAACTCGACGAGTCGAGTCGACTGGAAGGTTGACTTTAACCAGGACTTTGACCTTGAGAAGGACTTGACCAGAGTTGACCTAGTTGACTACTGGGGGACAGTTAGGCTAAGTTTTATTATTGGTATTGGTAGCTTGGGGAGCTAGAGGAGCAGCGGTTCGGAGAGTTGTCGGATAGCAGCCAGAGGGTTATCAGCAGAGTTCAGCAGTGCAGGTGAGTCTCCTCACTGTGTGCATGGGTCTACGGCCACAATGTCGGCCCATTATGTTTATGCTTATGGTTATGTGTCGTAGGAAGACCCGGGGGTTAGCCCTAGGCACTTATTGTGATTTGTTCGGATTTAGATCCGTTACCGAGGTTAGCCCGATGCAGTTTATATGTTCCGGATTTCGGTCCGATGTCGGGTGGTACCCGAGGCAGTAGTGGATGTGTAGTTATACTTGTTGTCTTTGTGATACTTACTTGTATGTGCCTGGTAGGGAGGTGAGTCGGGCGAGGTCCCGTATCTCATCACTAGCCGAGTATGGACGGGGATCCGTATCTCATTAGTAGCAGTGCAGGGGCAAGGCCCGAGTTAGGAGGGAGGTGACTGTGGGCGGGGGCCCGTATCTCACTATCAGTAAGAGCATGGATGGGGTTCCATGACTCACCGGTAGCAGGACAGGGGCGGGGCCCAAGCTAGGCGAGGCCTTACATCAGTAGTAAATTAGAGTATGTTTAGCCTTATGATATGTGTTATGTTATATGCTTGTATTTGTTAGTAGCGGGCGAGGCCCAGAGACAGGCGGGGCCTAAGAGAACAGATCTGTATACCGAGCGGGGCTCGATGCCAGGCGGGGCCTGATGCCGGGCGGGACCCGATGCAGTGGGCGGGGCCCAAGTTAGTCCGGACTACGATCCGATGCCGGGCAGGGCCCGATGCAGTGGGCAAGGCCCAGTATGTGGTATGTGGTAGATCGGGGGGACTCACTAAGCTTCGTGCTTACGGTTTTCAGTTTTGGTTTCAGGCACTTCCGGTAGCGGAGGGAAGAGCTCGGGGTGATCGCATGGCACACACACATAGCAAAAGAAGTTTAGCCTGGGAAGTTTACTCTGATAAAATGAACAAGTGTTTTGAAAAGATATTCTGATTTATTATAACCCTTTTGTATGTTGAAATGATTTGATACTATGATTTAAGTAATGTTTTTAAAGAAATTTTTGGTCATGATTTTTGGGATGTTACAGAATCCATCTTCTCCGTTTAATCCCAAACTCCATTTGTTGTAACACTAAATCTAGATACTCCCAGCTAAGGCTATCAAACGCTTTCTCGAAGTCGACCTTAAATGTAAAGCCTTCCTCTTAGTTTTCTTGATCCAAGCGATTACCTCATTAAGGATAAGAGGAGCATCGAGTGTGTTTCTGTTTTTTATAAACGCAGTCTGAGCTGGGCTTACAACTAAATGGACTACCTTCTTTAACCGCTCTGCCAGGACCTTTGTGATCGCTTTATATAAGCATCCAAAACTAATTTGAAAGTAGGACTAGTTTTTCAAATACCTTTGTTGTACATTTGATCCTTGGAATTTGGAAAACTCAAATTAGGACTAGTTTTGTCGATTCATATACCATATAAAATTGGGAAAAGTGAAGGTCGTAGGTTATGTTTTCACCATTGGTAGTTTTGTAGTGACTTGTGAATTGAAGACCAACCTTGCATTCTATTGTGACTTTGTCAACTACTAAAGCATAGTACATCGTGATTTTTGAAGCATGTAAAGAAGCTACATAGTTAAGAGGTTTGTGATGAGAGCTTTGTCGATATACATTATGCACTACCACATTTTGTGACAATCAACGTAACATATATACACATTACTAAGGATTCTATATTCCAATAAGAGAACAAATGACATTGATTTGAGATATTGATCAATCAATCATATACACATTGCACATAAACCATAAACCCTAAAAACTCAACCCCTTTCACAAAATCACTACCACCAAAAACAAATCAAAAGACGCACATAAAACAATCCCTTGAAAATTTACCACTCAATATTTCAATTTATACAAAACCATCTCCATTAATTAACTAAATCGTTGCAAAATCATACACAATTTCATCAACCAACATATTAACTAAATCCCCTTCAATTCTACCACCAATCTCACGACATTCAATCTCAAAATCCATCAATTTCACCAAACAATAACTCATATCCCTTTCCGCCACCTCATCCGCATTCAAACCAATAAAATCCATCCACCTCATCACCTCTTCCATTACTTCATCAATCAAAACCTTCGACCCCATTACTCCACAATTCGAATCCAAATATTCAATTAAACAATCAAACACAAATCGCTTCACTTGATATCTTGTTTTTGCGTTTCCATATCCAAAAAAGTTGCCGAATTTTGTCCACATTATCTCTGCAATTGTGTCCACCAATTCGCTGTTTTGAAACTTTTGAAAATGCGATTCATCGTATGAGTAACTCGTGGAATCTGTGTGTTGCATTCTTCCTTCAATCATATAAAAAAAAATTATTATATCATTAAATCATTAAATCATTGAAATTATTGAAATTACAATTTTTTTACCTGAGCTATCTTCCAAACTACTGGAACAACAGCTGTCATTTGAAAAAGAGGCTTCAAGAACTGATCCTGGGCTAAGATGATTGCTGTTTTTGTATCCAGATTTTTCTGAATTTGTCTAATTATGGAAAAAAAAAAGGTTTGGTATGATGGAAGAAATGGAAGAAAAGGAATGGAATGGAATGGTTGATTCCATTCCATCCAAGATAAATGAGAAGTTAGGAAACATACCTGTAAACAGAATACATCATTTTGAGGAAGTGGGTTTTCTTTATTTAAAGCACATAAAAGCTCTTGAAAAATATGAGCAGGTGTTCTTTTTGTTGAAGTTTGACTAGTCAACTCATTCAATTTTGCTTCAAGAAGAGCACCCAAAGAATCTCCAGTCAATGGGAATTTGTCAATCTGATTTGATGTAGGCCTTTTGCGTAATTTACAATATGAAACATTTTGATTTTGATTCCTTCTTTTCTCTACTTTTTCACACGTGTTCTTCATTGGTGAACTAAATTTAAACATCATTCCATTCCCATTTTGCCCCTGATGTTCATGCTTCATCTGTTTTCCATTACATGAAGCACTCATGACCCTTCTTGGCTTGTTATTTGAAGAACCCATTACACCATAACCTTGTGTTAAATGTCTTTTCTGCCCTCGAGATACGATATTATTCCTCTTTGTATCCTCAACTTTATTTGGTGCCCTTGACCGAGTTTGACCACTTAAACTCCTATTCAATGCAACAAAATCTTTGGTATTATCACTAACTGCATCTGTAGCAGATGGAAAACAGTTCAATCTTCGGTTTGAAGATGCAACAAATTCTTGTTCTTGATTGAATCTTGTGTTACTATCTTGAAAAAGGTTTTGAGAATCAAAGACAGATGTTTGGGAATGAGAATCTCTCTCTGCAATGTGAAGAAGATTACCACAGTTTTTGCAGGATGCTTCAAGATTTTCACTTTTTAATTTCATACGCTCTGTTCTTACACTATGAGGATAAGTGATAGCAAATTTAGACTTGTTTCTAGTTTCTAGAATCCTAGAAGCAGCACCAATTAACCTTGATGTGTTCTTTCTTGAATGATGTGTTGTGGTTTTTACAGGGGAAGCAAGTTTTGGATGATGACGATGATGTTTTTTTGATCGAGATAGAACGTTTTTGAGTTGTAATGCTTCTGCTCCAAATCTAGTTACACATCTTCTATCCGCCATTGTTTTTTGAAGCTTTTGAGGCCTAAAATCTTGTCTTGTGGTTTCCTTTTCGGATTCTTCTTTGTTGCATATAGCTTTGTGATTGTGAAGCTTGTCGCGATTTACAGATGATGGCATAGACTCCAACCCCATAAGCCTAGCGACTAAACTAGGAGTTTGAACTCCATTGTTACAAGTTGAAACGCCATTTTTGTTCATGTTTGGGAATCCCCCACTGTTTTCATCAGCAATCTAAAGTGGTAAAAAAATCAAAATCAGAAAAGGAAGAAGAATAGGAAGAGTTTGAGCAAAAGTTGAAGTGATTTTGAGTTTTGACATACCAGTCTTAGTTTCGGCAGCTTCTCATCACCTCCGAACTTTTTTGAAGCTTCTTTTGCACGATCTGTGAAATCGAAACAACAAAAATGAACACCGGTTCGTCGATTTCAATGTAATGTGGTGGAATCAACAATGTGTATAAGTAACTGAAGAAAAAATCAAAAGAGAAGTCGCTAATTTGCATAAACTATAGAATATGAACCTGGAGGAAGTAATCTCTTGGAGAAAAGTTTCTTCTTAGCGAACCTTCTGTTCCAATCGAAGAGTTGAAAGAAGATACCGACACATCCACCAGTTCTTCGAGGTTTATTCTCCGTAATCGCTAAAGACGACGCCGTTACACTCGCACTATCACTCATCTTCTTCCCCAAAAACTTCAGACTCGATTCGGTGGATAAAAAAAAACCTACACTGCTATTTTTTCAGCTTCTGCTCAAAATCAAACCACATTCTCATCATAAATCTCAATTTATTCTTCACCGATTCACGTCGAACAAACATCACAGTAATTTCTCACTTTCACTCTGTTCAAGTTTCACATTAAGGAATCTCTCAGGCAATGCCGAGGTTGATAATGATTTTGACACGAAACAACAGAGGAATCTTCTGCAAAAACCGTATTCCAGAAAACAACTTCACATTAGCTTGCATAAAACCACCGTACGTCTCGTCATCAAAAGAAGCTTTTCCTTTTTTCTCTTGTACTCACGAGACGCAACTAACGATCTGACAAGACACACGGAATCAAAAAAGAGAAAGGAAAATCGAAAAGCTCAAAAAGCAATCGTAATCTTAGACTGATTATACTATAAACCCTAGAAAGGAAGATGGAGTGATTAACGAGAGCGTAGCTGTTACCTGATGACGAACAGTGTGCTGCTGTTTATCCTCTGAAAACGGCTTCTTTTTCGTTTTCACTTTTACAGAGTGGGGTTTTGAGGGAGTGTGGGGTGGGTGCGTAGGATAAGGGGGTAGGTGCGTAGTGTAAGAATAGAGTGTGACTATACTTGAGACCCCCACAACACGCACTGAGTGAAATGAGCCGACAGCCGAGCCGCCCTAAGTCAACATGGTAAAGTGAGCCTTTTCAAATCTATGTAAATGTAACTTTTAAAATAAGAAACTTTTTGTTACTATAATTTTAAAAAGTTTTTGATGATAATTTCTTATCATAACTTTTATATTTATATATTCCTAAACCACATTATTTTCACTTATAATAATTAAATTAAAGTAAGAGTAAATTATATGAATAGTGCATGTGGTTTGGAACTTTGGAGTAATTTCGGTATATGGTCTTTTATTTATTATTTTTATTTTTATAAGTTTGAACTATTCCAATGGTTTAATTTTGTCACGGTTATATTGTCTTTATATGTTTATTTTATAAGTTATTTATTATTTATAATTAAAAAAATAATGGGGTCCACCGTACCTTATCCTTTACCCTTTCCTTCAGTTCCATGTTGAAAGTTCTGTAACTCTCTACCCTAAAATGAAAACTTGCAAATAAAACCAAATTCTAAAATCTTACTTAAAACCAAAATCGTAATTAACCAAAATCAAACAAAAGAATAAGACATATGATGGGAGCCAAGGATGGGAAAGCTTCCACTTGAAAAATGAAAAGATTTGTACAAATTATACGTATCATGTTAGATATTTTTAACTCAGATTGTTGAAATAGTATCTTTCCCTCCAAAAACATGTTGTGTTACTTAAGCACACAAAAAATATTTTGTTGCGAATGAACAAGATGTTGAAAGATTGTCCTAAAATTATAATCATTGATACAAGTTTTTTCCACATAAAAATGAAATCTTTTGTTACAATAGAAGCAGAAATGATGTGGGTTATTCAAGAATCAAAGTTGACTTATTTATAAAAAAAAAAAATCTCAATGAACTTCATATCAAAGAAGTATATGTGGGAGGCTCGTCAGGGTTAGATTGGGTTGCAAATGATACTAATAGAGAGGACGAAGGCGATTGTTGGGTTGACCGGTGACGGCAGTGGTTTCTCCCGACAAGAAGGCAGGGTTGTAGTGGTGATGCATGGGGATGAAAGGAACGAGAGATGCATAGTATCATAATATATATGTAGAGATCCGAATAATGGAATAACGGTGTTAAAAAAGAAATAAAAGCTACGGAAAATGAGTATTTGATGTTAAAATAGACATTTCTCGACTTCTTCAAGAGTTTAACCATAGTGAAAAAACGAAATTAAAATTCAACAAAAGTTTATTTATTGTTAAAAGGCACTCTATCGATTATAGTTTCTAGAATCGTGGAAATAAAAACAATTATATATATATATATATATATATATATATATATATATATATATATAT